CGGTCGTAAAAAAGCAAAGCTTCCAATGCCCTGTTGTTGCATTACTTATAGTCCAACTGGCCATACGTTTCTTTCCATTACAAAGTGGGGTATATTACAATATGTTATAATGAAACCTATCATTACGTTTATTTCACTTATTACCGAAGCTCTGGGTGTTTTTTGCGCGGAAAGTTTGAGTTTTGCTTTTGCCAGAGTTTACATGAAAATTTTGACTTTCATTTGTGTAACCATTGCCATGTATGCCTTGGTGCGTTAAGTTTAACTTTGTGTGCTTTTTATTCAAAATTTACAATTTTCGTACAATTAAGTTTAAACTTTTATCCTATAGGTTGTACTTTATTTAACTATTAAGGATGACATTGCAAATGAAAACCCATTTTTGAAATTCCTTTGTATAAAACTAGTCATTTTCTTTGCGTTTTGGCAATCAGTAGTTCTTTCCATTGTTGCTGAATTAGGTAAATGCTTCTATTCCTCAACATTAAATACCTTAAATACCTTAAATACCTAAGAAGTATTAACATCTTTATCATTTTTTCGATTTAATCTTTAATATTTAAATAGGTTACATCCAAGAGACCCAATATTGGTATTTATATTTCTCATGATTTCATAGATTTCATAATTAAAATTTTTAATTTTCTAAAATAAATTAAACTTGTATCATTTTTCTTTCATAACAGGACAAGTGCGAATGTCAGTCGAGGTTTAGCTGCCATATTGGTCTGCATAGAAATGACCGTCTTTTCATTTTTACACATATTTGCATTTCCTTATCAACCTTATGAAGAATTGGGGAATCATGAAAAAGTTTCGATAACAAAAGGATTAATAGATTCTTTTAATCCAATCGATATTTGGAGGGAAATGGTATATGTTTGGGACACTTTGACTAGAAGAAAATTTCCCAAAAATAACTCTAAGGACTTTGTGAGTACTGTAACAGGTGATAAAGAAGAAAAGAATAAAAATGAAAATGTATAATAAGATTAGAAAATAAATTTAACATACCTATTTGGGCTTTCTAAGTTAGCAACAGTCATCTCCCTCAATAGTCACATGGTTTAGTCTGGCATTTTTACGTGGATTGTGACTGACGGAGGGTGAAATTATATATATTAATGATAAATTAAGTAGAAAATTAACGTGACTATAGACAGTTGTGATTCTAGTGACTATTTATTCGATGTATATATTTACACCAAATAGAATTTTTACGCGCGAATTCTCCTATTATCAAATAATAATATAATTACTCATTCATTATCTTTTGATACACTATGTTATTGTTTCTAATAAATAACGTCATTAAAGTTTTATTATATTAACGTTAACGTTAATTAATACCTATATAGGAATTAATTCCTATGACTAAATCGTTAAAAAGCTTTCTTATTCACACCACCAGTGTAGGACGTGCAAAGATGACGAATTACATACGCATGCATGCGACGAATTATAAATTACATAAAATTATGCAATTTAACTTAAAATATGCTGTATTAGAAATTAGAAATTATAGTTACTAATTAAGTTAAAAACATATCTGATACTGATACGTATTTAACATCTTAATTGTTTCAGAAGGAAGTGCATGTTGGTTATTATTATTAAAGTATTTTTGATGCAGAACAACCACACTCAACACTGAGGTATTCGGTCAACTATATAAATCTAGTAATCAGGATAGTGATCAAATTATTTAATATATAGTAAGTTATGCTTTTAGATGTCTAGAGCGAATCATTTTACTTTTTTATTTATATTTTAATATATGTTTTTAGATGTCTAGAGCGAATCGGTTTACTTTTTTCAATTATTTTAGTATAAGGATTAAATGTAGTATAGGCTACCCCGGTGTTTCTGCGTTTTTGGAAAAATTTCCGGTCAAACAAAGTATAGCGATAGGTTACCCTGTGTTTCTGCGTTTCTGGAAACTTTGCCGAGGGTTGCCTATACTATATTTGACCTGGCAAAATTTCTAGAAACGCAGAAACACCGGGTAACCTATACTTAAATTTTGAGTTGATTTTTTACAAGATATTTTATATTGTAAACTATTTTCAAAGAGATATTTTGTTGCAGGACAAAAATTCAATACTAGAATATAAATTTTTTTAACATAACATTGTTATAAATATGTTTAAGAATAGATTTATAAATTTATACTAAAATAATTAAAAAAGTAAACCAATTTATTCTAAATATACTGGGTGTTTGATAAGTCTCTGGACAAGATCTTTTTTATTGATCACTTTGATTATCAAAAGTATTGTACTTTTTTATTAATGAAAAGGAATAATCAAGCGACGGTGGTGTTGATAATCGATATAAATCCATATATATCAATTAATTATAATCGATAGCAATTGATTTATTTCTATATATACCGATGAAAATCCAATCGATTTTAATCGACGGTGGTGATGAGAATCGTTTGAAATCCTACGATTATAATCTAATTTTAAAATTTCCTGATGTAGTATATAATTTTAAATATAATATATGCATCAGGAAATTTTTTAAGCTGATATGTAATGATCGATAATAATCGACGGCGGTGTTGATTATAATCAACATATACAAAAAATTAATTAAAATAATTAAACTAAATCGATTATAAGGCCATGCAAAGTTAATTTTTTGGTTCTCATAACATAAAATTTGAAAAATGACCCGGCAACCCGGCTTTTAATTTTATTTTCAA